ATGGCATACAATTCTCCCATTAAGAGTGTGCCGTCAAATGGCTTTTCGTACCATTATTGTTTAGACTCGAGTGTCCCCCAACTCCCATCTACTAGAGGCAGGGCTTCCGGAGTGTGCTTGAATCATGGGGGTGCTGTACTCATCAGCGGGTTCAACATTAACGCGTTCAGCTGCGCATGTGCCCTTCGAGGTGGGGCCGGTTAGAAGCGGGGCGCTGCGATGTGACCTGGAAGGATTTATCTCCCTCCCTGGATCTTTCACTTTCTACTTCCTGGCCACTGTACATACATACACTCTACGTACACACAGACCTGGTCCTGCCACTTCTAGACATGGTCTTCCTACCAGCTTGAACACCTTTTATTTTATTTTATTTACTTCCTAATTACCTTAGATAGAAACTTCTGTACAATATCAGATAGAAGTGGCAAGACTGGACGTCTGATCTTCCTTCAGATCATGCTTTGATCATAAAGCATGTAGTGTTTTACCATTGCGTGTCACATTAGCAGTGGCTTTTTCCTGGATGCCTTTTGTCAAAGTGAAAACAATCCTATCTATTCGTTTGTTGAGTGTTTTTATCACAATACAGAGTTCAATTTTGTCAGTTCTTTATCCGTGTCTTTTGAGATGATCGTGTGGTTTTGTCCTTTATCCCGCCAGCCTAGTGCGCTACATTGATGGCGTTTCTGTGTTAAACAACCTTATGTCCCTGGTGCGAATCTCCCTTGGCCATGAGACATACAAGCCTTTTTATGTGCTGCTGGATTCTATTTGCTAGTATTTCGCTGAGAATTTTTTATTCATAAGTTTTACAAACTGTGCTCTGTAGGTTGCTTGTCTTTTGCGCTCTTCCCCTGGTTTCAATATAGGGGTACTGCTGACTGCGTAAGATGACTTGAGAAATACTCTGTTCTCTCCTACTTTTTGGAAGAGTTTGTGAGGAAGTGTTGTTACTTCGTTAACACTAGAGTTCTCGAAGGAAGTCTTCTGTGCCTTGGTTTTCCTTTGAAGAGAGTTGAGGATTTGGTTTTTTATTTAACTAATTCAGTCTCTTGTTGTAAGTATATTTATATTTTATATCTCTTCATGAATCAGCTCTGAATCTGCTCTAGAAATTCGTCCCTTTCAAGTCTGATTATCTAATTGAAGTTACCTACGCTGGTGGCCGTTAGTTTGCCAGAGCTGCCGTAACAACACGGATGAGAATTTTATCTTCTCGCAGCCTGAGAGGCTCGAGGTCAAAGCCGAGATGCTGGCAGGGCTGCACAGATGGCCCCCTTTCCGGTGTGCCCTCGCGCGGCCTTGCGTCTGTTCATGGGCATCTGTGGTGTCTCCTCCTCCTCTTCTTATAAGGACACTAGTCCTGTAGGGCCAGGCCCCCACTGGGTGGCCTCCTTTCACCTTGATCACCTGCTGAGCGGCCCCGTCTCCAGGTCCAGCCACGTCTAAGGTGCTGGGGTTCAGAGTCCCAACACAGGAGCTCCGGGAGGCGCAGTCCCGCCCGACGATGGCACAGCTCCGCTCACAGCGTTCTCTTGTGATTCCTTTCTTCTTTAGGGTTGCTGGTGACGCCACCTCTCTCACTCTTGATTCTAGTAACTTCTCTCTCCCTCTCTCCTCCCTGTATATATATCTCCCCTTCCCCCATCATTCTAGAATTAAAGGAAGAGGAGCCGGGCGTGGTGGTGCATGCCTGTAATCCCAGCACTCGGGAGGCTGAGGCAGGAGGATCGTTGCGAGTTCAAGACCAGCCTCGGCTACAAAGTGAGCTCAAGGCCAGCCTGAACTGCATAGCGAGACTCTGTCTCAAAAAAAAAAAAAAAAAAAAAAAAAAGAATAGAATTAAAGGAAGAATTAAAAGAATTAAAAATGTACCACTCAAAGAACAAACTTTTAGTCTATTGATTTTCACAAGTGTTTCATATTCATTTCTGCTCTGTTATTTTCATTCATTTCTGCTTGCTGTGGATTCAGTTTGCTCTCTGTTTTGAGGCCTTTCTTCTTTTTGTAATATAGGTATGGACAGCCATACACTTCCCTCAGGTCCAGTTTGCCCTCGGTGGCCACAGTTACACATCCACAGCTGCACGCTCTGCATCCACAGATTCAACCAACTACCAATCAAAAATATTTGGAGGGGCTGGGGATTTAGCTCAGCGGCAAAGTGCCTGCCTGGCAAGCGCAAGGTCGTGAGTTCGGTTCCCGGTACCGGAGGAAAAAAAAAAAAAAAAATTTTGGAAAAAGCCAGGCATGGTGGCTCACGCCTGTAATCCCAGCACTCGGGAGGCTGAGCCAGGAGGATCACCATGAGTTCAAGGCCAGCCTGGGCTACATAAGCAAGTTCAAGGCCAGCCTTCACTACATAGCAAGATCTGTCTCACAAAAAAAAAAAAAAGGAAAAAAATTGCATTCATACTGAATATGTACAGACTTTCTTCTTGTTGTTATTCTCTGAACAACAGGGTTTAACCACTATTTACGTTGTGTTACATTGTGTTACGCTGTATTATAAACAGTCTAGAGAAGATTTGTGTAAGGGAGGATGTGTGCCAGTTCGATGTACAGACTACTTTGTTTGTATAAGAGAATTAAATACCTGCAGATTTTGATTTCTCCTAGGGTCCTGGAGCCGCTTTCCCACAGATAATGAGGGGTGACTGTATGTCTTTAGAGGCATGTCACAGGTTGTGTTTAGTTTTAATTTATCTTAAAATGATATCTGATTTTCCTTGAGCAACTTTGTTTTTCTCTATACATAATTGTCTCAACAAAGTGTATTGAATGGGTCGTCTTCATTGCTGATTTGAGCTGCTATATTTTTCTTATACTAAATTCTCATGTGTATTGACATCTATTTCCTGCTTTTTTTTTGTTCCACTATTTTGTGTATATACTAATCTATCAACACCACAGTGTTTTATTCAAGGAACCTTTTAAATATATCAGCATTTGAACCTCTCCTCCTTTCTCTTATTTTTCAGAATACTTTTAGCTATTCTTGTCTTTATATTTCTATATATCAACATTATATGTTTGCCTAGTTATGACATTCTAATAATCCTAATAGAAATTTTAATAATATCTAAAACTGTTGGTATTTTCTTCGGACCACATTAAATTTATAAATTAACATGCTCATTGGCATCTTTTTACCATTTGAGTACTCTTGCTCAGAACATTTTATTTCCTCACATTTGTTCAGGTCTATTTTCATGACCTTCAGAAATATATGTTATTTTAAACAATTTTAATATGAAATTTTCAAACATAAAAAAACAGAATAATGTAATGAACCATCACCAGAACTATGGATCTGTCACCCAGCTGCAAAATCACCGACACATGGTGATTATTCCATCAGTGTAAGATACTGTGTTTAAACTAATACAAAGTTCTCTCATGTAGTCATATACCTCTCTTATTAAGCTTATCCATAAGCTGTCTGTCCTCAGTTGAATTAATTGATTTGAAAAAGTGAATTACTGTTCTTCATAATTTGTCGAAGAGTTTGCCTGTGTTTACCTTCACTGTTTGTTAGGAACATGGTGAAATTGCAGCGATAAACTAGGTAGTAAGCTACCAGTCTCGCTGCAGACGATGTGGGCCTGTGGCCTGAAACACAGTGGCTAACCTCTGCGCCGGCCCAGCACGCTTCCCTGGGGCTTCTGCCCTCGAAGGCTGTGGGGAGACGTGAGAAGTGTGGGCTGCCTCGTGCTTCCTGCAGCTGTGTGACGTGTGTGCCTGTGAGCCCCTGTTCTTCCGGTGGACCTGAGACCCGCTCCCTGATGATTAGCCCAGGCCCTGAGAGTAACCGTCCCAAGCCAACAGGGGACCGTTTCATTCTTTTGCATTCTTATGAGCAGCACTGACTTGATGAATCAGGTATCAGGCTGTGGTATAAAAAATAATTGTGTAGGTAACTTCTAAATAGCACCATGGTATTTGCTCTTGAAAGCAATTGGCTTTTCAGGCTCTCAGAGTTTAAACAGACCCTTTGAACACTTTCCTGTCATGAACTGACCCAGCTTTTGAGCCAGAGCACATTCAGAGACTTGGGGCCTCTTATTCAGTAAGGAAAACTTCTATTGGCGTGAGGCGTGTGTGCTCACTCGCGTGCGCAGTACTAGGGCTTGAACTCTGGACCTTGCACGTACTAGGAAAGCGCACCCTACCACTGGGCCACGTCCTCAGCACTTTCTGTTTTTCATTTTAAGACAAGGTGTGGCTGAGTTGCCCAGGCTAGGTCTGAATTTGTGATCTTCCTGCCTTAGCCTCCTGAGTAGCTGGGATCACACAGGAGGGCACCACTGTGTCTGTCTTGGCTTGAGTTTATGCCTTTGCCATAGCCTCTCTCTGAAATAGCATGTGGTTCTCCCGTGCTGAATTATTTTCTGAAACCAAACAGAGGCTTTCTTTTGGATGTACCTGATACTGTGATAAATTAATTCCAGTTTATTAAGACAATTAAAGCAACTTTCAGAGAAAATATTTTCTCCTAGATTGCAATGTCTGTTTGTATGATACTTCTTGAATTAAAAATTTATAGAGATAAGCATATCTCATTAAAATGTGGTTTGTGAAGGCTGTGTAGAGAGTTTTGATGGGGAACATATCCTGATGACAGGTCCCTTGATTTTGACGAAGGTAATGACTACTGCTACCCGTGACTACTTACTACTCTGTGAAGTAGTAATACTTTACTACTTCTATTACTATTATTTACTACTATTACTACTTCACAGAGTTGTTATAGCGATTGAGTGAAATAATGCATTTGAAATACTTAGAATAGCACCCAGCACATAGTAACTTCTAAAGCGTGTTAAATAAACCATCAAACCTGAATACAGAGAGGTTCACCTTTCTAAGATGTCAGACTAGTTTAAGGAGAGAACTGAAATCTGAACGATCTGCTTGTTCTCAACTCACCTTCATTAAGGGAGCTTCTTTCCCACGTCCACGGTGTGGTTACTCATTTTCTCTCTCTCTTTTTAAAGATTCACCAGTTCTCAGTCCAGCTAATTCTGCAATCAACTTAAGTGGCGCTCAAGACCTGACCCGGAATAAGAATATTGTGAAACCCCTGGCTTTATCTTTGCAGACTATAGGGAAGACTTTTGCCACAGGTAATTTTCCTTACTTACAGTTTTTGGGTAAAAACATGATTTGTGAAAGATGTTTGTGACGTCTGTCATCACGTAAGAGTGTACAAAGCTTTGCGTTTTCTCTGTGCCAAACGAGAGAGTCAGAATCACATTTGCCACACCGAAGAGATACCGCAGCTGAGCCCGTTCAAATAACATGTTTGGGCAGCTGCTATGACTAGCACTACAAAGCAAATAGAAAATGTTCGGGATTTTAGGGTATAAAGACAAATAGCCTAAAACCAGTATGTAGGATATCAAAGCAAGGCATAATGCAGAGAAGGATCCCAAGTATCCTCGCAGTGTACTGAGGGAGACAGACCTCTATCGAGGGATCTTCAGTCCCCAACATTTCCTGGAGTAGAGGAGCGAGTTTTTGGAGGAGTTTGGTCTTCAACAGTAACAAGTCAGGCACCCAACAGAAGAGTGGAGGAAAGGCATTTACAGTTCAAGGATGAGCAGGGAAAAAGGTCAAAAGAAAAAGGAGGGAAAGGAAAGCGGGGAAAAAAGCATGGTGTGTGCCAGGGCTCCCTGCTCTGGGGCTCGTTGGAATCATAAAATGTCGGATGCAGGGGGCGGCAGGGGATGAGCGAGTGGGGAGCTGCGGAGAGCGTGGGCGTGAAGCTAAGAAGCGCGGGCTTTACTCTAACTTTCGGGGAGGAAGATGGCAGCGGTCTGGTTTGAACGCGTGCTGGATCACCGTGGCGGCATGTGTGTGAATCCGAGAGGGAGGGAGCTCGCTGGAGGTCGTTTCAGCATCTCAGTGAGAAACGAGGAGGAATAGGTTGGAGAGGAGGAGACAAACTGGAGAGCCACCAAGAGGTCAGACCAACAGGACCTGACCGACTGACCAACAGCGGTGTGGAGGAGAAGGGGTGTCAGCGGATGTCCATCTGGCTGGGTAACGTTTTCGGCATCCAACACAGGGACCGTGGAAGGAGGAGCAGGCTCCCTGGGAGATCGTGCAGACAGGCGGAGTCCGGTTTATCCCAGAGACATCCAGGGAGCTGTTCACAATCATGTCATTTGCCATGGTGGGAAACCGGGACTGATTAGAGCTGCGCCTCTACCATATAGTTAAATCATCAGGGTCAATACTGTTAGCCAAGGAGAGACATGGGAGGGGGTTCAGACTGAGCACAGGATGAATCCTACAGAAGTCCGGTGTTCAGGGAGAAGGAATGGAGACAGAAAGGTGAGGAGGAAGGGAGCCTATCTTTTTTGGAAACTCAGCATTTGGGCATCATAATTTACGCACCCACCCTTGTTCTTACCCCAGCCTAATGACTCTTGCAGGACCCACCTCTGGTTGGGTTACAGACTTGAACAAACTGGATTCAATTTTCACAGCATTAAACAAGTCAATGAAATAATGTCAGTAAGCATCCTGGTTAATAAAGCCTTCAGAGGAAGGGATGATCAACTTCATAATGCAAGGATTAGGCTGACAATTCTTTAACCCTCAAATCATTCCTTTTTTTGTGTTTTTGTTTTTTTCTTTTTTTTTTTTTTTTGGTCTTTTTGAGACAAGGTCTCACTCTGCAGTTCAGGCTGGCCTTAAGCTTTCTTTGTAGCTCAGGCTGATCTCGAATTTGCAACAATCTTCCTGCCTCAGCCTCCCTAGTGCTGGGATTACAGACATGTGCCACCATACCTGCTTCTAATCACTCTTAATATCATAAGAAAAGAGAAAACTGGTCGTTATGCGGCTCATGGCAGGAGCATACAACAGTACCCAGGAGATCCTTTTACCAGAAAAAGAATGCAAATTTGATCAAATCTCTATCTCTGTTTGTTTATTGGAAACACAGAAGACAAAGGAACATTAACTGACGCCTTATGTATCCAATGAGCAAAACCCAGGAAATAGAATATTCTGCCACGTTTGCAGAATGAAAAAAAATTAATTATAAGAAAAAAAAAGGAGAACCCTATAGATTGAAAGAGGTTTAAGGATTGTATCAGCTAAATTCAGATGTGCAAACCTTTTTGAATCTCAATTTGAAAAACCAGTGTAAAAACCATTCTGAAATAACTGAGAAAAATTAGAAGACTGATGTGATCATTGATGATATTAATAGATTAATCAGTGTTAATTTTAGGTGTAGTAATGACACATTAAAGGTATGTTTTTGAAAAAAAAATCCTTGTAGTAACACATATGGAAGTACTTATGGATGAAATTATATGATAAATAGGTTTGCTTCCAAAGGCCCCAGAGCATATATATGCGCATGTACATGGGAAGAAGCACAGGGTAGAGAAGCAAGATGGGCTTTGTGGTGGGAAATGCTGAAGGTGAGTGATGAGTAGGCAGAAGTTTATTGTGCTTTCTCCTGCCTTTTGGATATATTTGAATTTTTCCGTGATGCAGTGTTAATAATAATAGTTTCCCCTCCTCCCACCCACTACCTCCAAAGACTCCCTGAAAATTATTCTGGCACCAGGCCGCTGGTGCACGCCTACAATACCAGCACTTGGGAGGGTGAAGAGGAGGACTGCAAGTCGAAGGCCAGCCTGGGCTACACAGTGAGTTCACTGCTTTCTGCAAAGCTGCCACTATCCGATCAACCTCACACTTGAGGATTCGAGGAAATCTCACTGCTGGGACTCAAGCCAGTCCCATGACTGGACTTGACTATACAGCAAGACCTCAATTCAAAAGAGCCAAAGAAAAAAGAAAATGATTCTGAAAGACCTCTTGGAATGTCAGAAAATGTGTTCTTTTCCTTGACGTACGCGACATCTAACTACGGTGCGAGCACTGCACCTGTAGCCGGCGTGTGACTGGACTGAGTGCTGTCCCTGATGTTTCCTCGAATCTTCAGGGGTGAGGTTGATCAGAGCGCAGCAGCGTCGCAGAAAGCCGCGTGCGCCCGGCCTCCCTTGAGCGGCTTCTCTCCTGTCCTACAGATGCTGCGAACGGGAGCGGCAGCCATGGAGGGAAGACCCCCACGCCCAGCTTCACGCCCGCCCGCCCAGGCAGCTATTCCTTGTCGCCGCGACCTAGTTACGCATCTGTAGACCAAGGTACAGCACCACCTAGAGTTCTGTTCTGGAACCGTGCACCTCGTTATGCCAGAACCACTACGGAGTTTTGAGTGATCTGACGCACACTCTGGAGTTTTCCCTTAACTTGTTATACAGTGTCTTAAAAGTTTATGATTAGTCTGAGCGATAATATTTAACTATCTTAGTGATTTTGCATGGACGAACCTAACTGGTAGTAACTGCTGAAACAAATGTATAAGAAAACATCTTTAAAAGCCATGGATTTGGCTGACAATGTATAGGACTCGTATTCCTCTTTGTGTGCTCTTCCTCTGGGCATCACGCTGTCCTACAACTTCACAGGTTGGTCGTAGAATGAAATGAAATAATCGTAATAAAATTGTGTAAAACAGCATACAGATTTTTAGGTATCATTAGTGTGGTGTTGGATTTGTTACTGTGGGCTTTTCCAACTTTATCTTTACCTCTAGAAGAGTAATTTAGACCTTCTAAGTAAATCAACGTAAAGATCCTGTGTCATTTTGGCATTGATTTTTTTCCTTCTACATTATGGAGGACAAAGCTGTCGTTCTTTTTGTCTTCAGCAACCATGTTCATTTCCGGGCCACCAAAGAAACGACACCGGGGATGGTACCCTGGCTCCCCTGTCCCCCAGCCTGGTTTAGTTGTTCCTGTTCCTACAATTCGTCCCCTTTCAAGAACTGGTAAGATTTTAACAGAAGATAGATTTTAAAGTTTGTTTTCTTTTTTAATTAGCAAGGATATCTTCTAGTCCTGTTCTTTCTCTGAACCCGTGAAAGTAAATTTCCTTCCGAGCATTCAAAATTATGCAACGATATTGACAGTAGCTAACATTTTGTCCCTGGCACCTCCGCCTTCCCTAGAGTGCACATGCCATCACGCCTGACTTGCACTCGGCCTTTGGCGTAGCTGTAAGCCAGGCATTGGGAAGCCGTTCCCAGGGCACGCTGGACTTGCTTTGGCAGCAGTAGCATTACCTCGCCCGTCAGTGCTCTGGTCCTTTATGTGCGTGACCTGTGCTTATTGCTCCTGGCCTGCATGGTTTTGTCTGGGGCTAAAATCTGCAGGACCAGCTGGCTCTCCTTCCTGCTGTCTAACCCATGGCTGTCTGCGGCCCACAGTTAAACACGCAAATGCTTGTCTACCTTGCACTCAGTGTACCATCTCTAAGACACGGGTGGGACTCCTTACAAACTTAAGTTTGCTTAAATAAATAACTTTAAAGCCTGCAGAGATCTTCTATACACAAAGAATTATGTCAGTGAGCTAACGGTAGCTGTCTCTGGGTGGGGCCGATTAATGATGAAGCCATCTGTCTCCGTACTTGTCTGTCCTTGTCAAAGTTTATACAGTGGGCAAATATACTTTTCATAACCTGGGGCATGGGGAGAAAAATACCCAACAAAACCCTAAAGATTGTGGAAAAAAGAACTAGAATGAAAACTACTGAAATGCCCAATGGCAGTTACCTCCCGAGGGTATGAGCATGGTTAGTTTTCTTCTTCTCTTTGTTTTTCTCACTCCTAATTTTATATAATATGCACTAGCTGCTTTTTAAAAAAACCATGAAACCATTAGATTTATAAACCTTCTGTAGTCGTAAGTTTAAAACCACATTGTTTTTCGTTTTATTTCCTTCAGCTTTTATGTCTAATCCTTCTTGTTAAACAACTTTTCTTCCAGAGCCCCTTCTGTCTGCCCCAGGTCCACAGACCCCATTAACTGGAATTTTACAACCTCGGCCCATTCCCGCAGGGGAAACTGTAATTGTTCCTGAAAACCTGCTGAGTAACTCAGGAGTTAGGCCGGTAATTCTGATAGGTAAGGCAAAGGGCCGCCGAGGTGCCTGTGTTCGCTGGAGTCTGGGGATGCCTGTCCATGTCATTGTTTGTGGCTTTACTCGGGGTGCATGCGTGTAGTCACGCGTGCATTCACTTATCCCTCTGTCGAGTCTTTGAGCTTTTACTGGTCAGTGCCTTCATGCTATATCGAACAGGTGACTAGAAGCCGCGAATAAGGCAAAGTCTCCTTGCCCTCAAGGAGCACTGTTTTGTGGGGACGTCCGGCCCCTCACTAGCACTGGGAGTGGTAAACAACCAGGACAACATACTGTGAGGACATTACGACACCCAGAGATCCAGGAGCCAGCAGAGGTCACAGCCAAGAGCTCCAATAACACAGAAGAGAGAGGACTTCCTCTGCCTGGAGGGCCTAAGAGGACTTCTCAGAAGTGTCTAAGCCAGATCCTGAGGTTGCTAAGAGTGGACAGGATGGGGAGGGGACATTCCCATCAAGGAGACCAATGCACAGGGCAAAGAACTAGCTAAGCCAGTTACCATCCTTACTGAAGGGACCAAGAAACCCCTCAGGAGGAGAGCTGAGCCTGGGGAAGCACCTTTGCATCGGCGTCCCTAGAGTCTGTGTCCTTCCAGGCTGCCTGACAGTGGAGAGACAGAAATGTAGAGGCCCCTAGATCACAGAACTAAGGGGGTGCATTTCATACCCACATTGAAAATCCCCTCCACTGGGGCCAGCTGGCCTCGGCCAGAAGGGGACTGTCTGCTTTCCCAGGACAAAACAGGGAGGGTAAGATTACAGGAGGTGTTGTCTGTGCTTGAAGTTGGCCTGAGTTCACTAACTCAGTTTAGCTTCAAGCCCTGTCCTTTATCAGGCCGCTTTCCACTGATGCCAGATCTGTAGGCATTGTGGGAATCCCAGTCGTTTAAATCCTATATGGTTTAGACAGTTCTTTCTGAACCTTAGCATAGTGCAGCTAAGCCTTGGAAAGGTACATAAAACATGGGATTCTTTGGTGCCTGCCTTTTAGAAAGCCTTTCAGAGGAACTGTCCTATCTACCAGAACAGTACCTTTTCAACATAATTGTATCTTATCTACTTCTAAGATAATCTGAGGCTATTTACTGCCCTTCAAGAAGAAAATCTAACAGAAATCTCTAAGATAACAAAAGGAGTTGGAGCCAGGCATGGTGGCACACACCTGTAATCTCATTACGTAGGAGGCTGAGGCAGGAGGATTGTGTGAGTTTGAGGCCAGCCTGGGCTCCATAGTGAGTTCGAGGCCAGCCTGCACTACATAGCGACCCTGTCTTAAAAAAAAAAAAAAAAAAAAAAAAAGTGGAAATCTCCAAGCACTGCAACTAGCAGAATATGGCTGTCAATCACTGGTTTTTGCTCAAAAGATTTTCCCCAAAACCTCAGGAAGTGAAACATGTTATTGTGGTTTGTTTACTTTCTCATCTGAAAGAAATGTGATCAGGAATTTTAGCGGAAGATATTTTACCATCACCATTTTACAAAGAATCCAGAAACATTTTGCAAACTCATCCATCTTCTATGGCAGCAACATGCTATGAACAGATCCCTCCTGTGGGAAACAGAAAAGTGATTTGAATATTTTGCTTCATGTTCATCTGCTTTAATATAGAGATGGAATTTGGAGCATCCAGGTGAACTGCGGAGGCTGGATACATGTGAACCGCTTGTTCGGGTAGCCGTCTCAGAGGGCAGGGAGTTTGTTAAGCGTCCCCGTTCCCCATTCAGTAAATAGGCCGGGTTGGATCTCAGAGAGCAATGTCCGCTGTACTGACCTGCTTCTGTTGGGGCAGGCTATGGCACTTTACCCTATTTCTATGGGAATGTCGGCGACATTGTGGTGAGTCCGCTGCTGGTGAACTGCTACAAGATTCCACAGCTGGAAAACAAAGATTTGGAACAATTAGGGTTGACTGGCAGCCAGCTCCTGAGTATGGAAAATATGATCCTTCTGACCATACAGTATCTTGTCCGGCTTGGTAAGTTATTTTCGAGAATCGTTTGGGGGTGACTGTCTTTATTTTGGGGACAGCGCTGTTTCCTTTCCTTCTCCTGTTCCTCCACCTGCCTGTCTGTTTTCCTTCTTGCTTCTAGCATTTTTCTCCTTTGACCTCACCCCTGTGTCCTTTCCCTTTCCTCTCCACCGTGGCCCCCTCCTTTCCGTGGCGCTGCTTCTTTGGGTCCTAACAGAGATGAACGGCTCCACCTAGTGTCCTCCCACCTCCAGAGCAGCTGCTGCCGGCAGAACCGGGCCGGCCGGGCGCCCTTCTCCTGGGGAGCTGGCCAGGCCACCTTCCCTAAAGGCCCGTGTTTTAGACAATTATTTTCCAGCTTTCTGATTATCTTTTTTATTTTGTTTGTCTGCTGCCCCTACACCCATTTTTTCTTCTGCTACACCCCTTTCCTGCGGCCCCAAGTTTTCCTTCAAGTGGGCAGTAACATGGGCTTCTCTGGAAGGTTCTGTAGGCATTAGGGAAGCAGGCTGCACAGGTCACGACCCTTCACCTTCCCTGCTGCTGTAGCCCGAGCCCCACAGTGGGTCCACGCAGGTGTCCTGACAATCCGTTGTTGTTCAGCAGCATTTACACTGAAATGTCCTTTATTTTGCAAACCCCAGCAAGCCATTGAATATGCAGCCTAATTATACACTCACTCTGGGAATCAAGCCACTGCTTTACTTAGAAAAATGTTTGAGATGTAAAATCACACATGAATAATTTTGTCCACACTCTCATGATCTTTTTTCAGCGTTAGGAAAAAAAAAGACTCGTGTTAAAAAATAATAATAAAAATACTGGGATAAAACAGTGTTCAGAAACCCAAAGTTTCAGCAAGCCAGGTTCAACCTTTGTAGCATCAGGTGGCAACCTGGCTAGAACTGTCGGTCCCCAGACAAGCACGGTGACCTGGGCTCCTCTTTGAGACGGCTTTGGAGCTTGGGAGATTTGCCATGAGAACCTCCCTCGTGACAAACCTGGGGCCTGCACATCGTGCTTATTGGGAGGTAATAAAATTATAAAACACCTGGCTTTGCAGCTCATTTGGTGTGGTGATTTTAATTCGCTGGATGCAGACTCTGGACTGTGGATGGTCTTCTAACCCTAAAAGTAGTTTCTAGTTGCACCCAGAATCAGTTTAAAAAAAAAACAACAGTGCTTCATATAGACCAAGGCATTCACTGTGTCTTTTTTTTCCTTTGGTACTGGGGATTGAACCCAGGACCTGTGCACTAAGCTGCATCCCCAGCCTCTTATTTTAACTGTATTTTTTATTTTGAGATAGTCTTGCTAAATTCCCCAAGTTGGCCTCAGCCTCCTGAACCACTGGGACTAATCACTGTATCTTTTTTTTTCAACCTTACTAATGATTTCAGAAACCAGGGTCCAGGTTAATTAAATAAACCACATGGTCAAAATAAAATGCCTTGCATTAAATGACTAAATGTTCTTATGTTAGAATATTTCAGTTTCATTACAGAAGACTCTTTTCTGCCCACAGGATCAATTCTCTCTAGAATTTTTGTCCCAGTCAGGTCTCTCTCTCAACATCCTTTCTTTCGTTCATTTTTTTTTTTCATACTGGGGATCGAACCCAAGCTTTTGCACTGAGTTTGTCCACAGCCCTTTATATTTTTAATTTTGAGACAGGATTTTACTAAGTCACTAAGTTGCCCAGGCTGGGCTTGAACTTGTGACCCTCCTGCCTCAGTTTCCCAGAGTTCTGGGACGACAGATGTGCACCACCGTGTCTGGGTCTCTTTCCTTTTTTTAATCTAAACTTTGTACATTGGGATTTCTTTGCCCTTCAACTGACTGTTCAGGAGTCCTTGAAAAAGATGTTTTGCCTTCAGAGATTTTCAGAGCAGTAAGAATAAATATAATAGACATTTCTTTAAAATCCAAACTTCTACAGTGATTGTGCTGATTCTTTAGTGGCCCAGATACGTAGTGGTAATGGGGTAGAAGAAAGCCAACATTCTTTAGAAGGAACAGGCCTTTCCACTGCAGTCCCTTTCTGAGATTTCTGTCTGTTATTTCACAATCTTGAAAATCGTTTGAAGTAGATAATGAAATCAGCAAACCCAGACATGGCTGGACGGCTCTGGGTCTGCTGGAACCTTGCCCTTTCCTGTTAAGCTTGCTCTATCTGAAAAGCAGTGAGGACTGACATCCGGACGTCACTGAGCTCCTGGAGATCAGTGCTTGAAGGAAAAATTACTACCTCGGGCGTGCAAGAAGTGGAGAAAGGGCCCCGTAATCCACTGGAAAGCCTGAGGCTGAGGAGTGATGTCGCCCAGTGGACACGAAGCATTCTAGAGCGCTCTTCCCTCGTTTAACTCAGAGGCCCCCCTCCCCATTTTTCAATTTCTTACAGTAACTCAGTCAGATGTCACAAAAATAAAGTTTAAGATCACAGAGACTGCTGGGAATATGTTGGATAATTTTATTTTCCCTTGGGGTTAGTTATGCTTCTCAGTAAAATATGTTACTCAGCCCTGATTTGAGATGGGTCTTAACTTCCCACCTGTGAACCCGGCCTCTGAGCCCTCAGGTTGTCAGTGAGGGGCCGTGGGGAAGTGGAGACAGGCCCCCTGCTTTGAGCTGTCCTGCCTTTGGATGAAAGAAAACTTTAAATGGCCCCCGCTTTCCTGTCCTTGGAAGTGCATACCTAGCCACTTGGAGCTCACTAACTGCGCCTCCAGAGCACTGACGGGGAGGCCGATTGGACGCAGCTGAGTGGGGACCAGGAGCCTTGTGCCGCCCAGGAGAGGGGGGACCCCAGCACCCGCCATCGCCTGCTCCTAGGGAGGAAGTAGGAACAGGCTTGCTCCCAGCACTGCCGATTTCTTGCTGTTTCTGTGGGTGAGAGAAATGCATCCCTAAGGATTCCATTCTTCTAACTCTTCCTGGCCCCCAGCCAATCCTGCAAAAGCTGTGTTCTTACATTTACCTGTGAGATGTATGTTTTATTTAATTTCCCTTATTTTAAAAACATTACAAAAACCCTCATTTTCTTTTCCAGAAAAGATGGGCAGGGCCATGAGGCCACTTAAATCCCCATTAGAAGAAGGAATGGCTTCTCAAGGTAGCGATTACTCAAGGTAGCAGAGAGAAGTCCGGGTCCTTATCTCTGGTTCTTGCGTAAGGAGATTTTTGCCCCAGGTTCTGAAGCCCAGGCCTGGTCTCAGGTCACAGATACTTCAGAGTCAGTGTCTGTCAACAGGAATCCGAGTTTTAAATCTCAGATTCATACAGCAAAAGAAATGACAGAATAGAAGGAATGAATATATCTCACTGGTTTTAATTTAAAGCAAATGTAGACATCTTGTACCATTAGAATGTCATATGCAGATGTGCTTATCTGTTGTCAAAGACTGGTTGAATTTCTAAAGAGAATAAAACACAAAATGCTTCATTCCAGGGGCTATCAGTCAAGAGTGGAAACTTTTCTTTTTTTTTTTTTTTTTGGTTTTTCTCCGGTACCGGGAACCGAACTCATGACCTTGCGCTTGCCAGGCAGGCACTTTGCCGCTGAGCTAAATCCCCAGCCCCAAGAGTGGAAACTTTTCTTCACAACTGAGAAAGAGGCCAAATGTCTTTTTTTCTTTTTTTTGAGACACTAAGTTGCCCAGGCTGGGTTTGAACTTGTGATCCTCCTGCCTCAGCCTCTCAGACTGCGGGTATTAAAGGTGTGTACTGCCACACCCAAATACCATATGTAACGATCCAGAGCGCTGAGGAATAACTAGGAGAAGAAAGCATTCTGTATCTAGGGAAAATGGGGCTGTCTAACGCATAAACTGGTAGTGAGAACTAACACTCAGAAAGACACTATTTTCAAAGTTAGATATAGATACAACATATTAAAGTTGTTCCAGAGTACCAATGAATAAAATAAGAAATGACTGAAATGTCAAAATGACTACACCAGTAGTTCAGCTTCTTATTTTATTAGTCATTAACAATGCCTGTCACGCCAAGTTAGCAGGTCAAGAAACCTGCTGCCTGGCTGGGTGTGATGGCACATGTTCAAGTCACAAGTTCAAGCCCAGCTTGGGCAACTTAGTGAGAACTTGTCTCAAAAAGTGTTTTTAAAAGGCCTGGGTAGGGGCTGGGGATTTAGCTCAGCGGCAAAAGCGCCTGCCTGGCAAGCGCAAGGTCGTGAGTTCGGTTCCCGGTACCGGAGAAAAACCAAAAAAATAAAAAAATAAAAAAAAAAAAAAGGCCTGGGGATGTAGCTCAGTGTGACAGCCCCAAGTACCTGCTTTGACCATCTCCCCGGGGATGGATTCTCTGTCTCTCCCTGTCTCTCTCTCTGTCTGTCTGTCTCAGGAGAGCCTCTTTTAAAGGGTTCAGGAATGGAGTACAGGAGCAGAGAGAAGCCTGATTTTTTAAAACAAGACCAAGAGAGACAAGAGAAGGAAACGTCACCACGAGGAGTGTTTAGCAGGGTCTGTCCTTGGAACGCTGCAGGCAAAGCACCTCCTCAGCAGTTGCAGTGTGGGGCGGGGGGCTTCAGAGAACTGCAGGACGGAGGCGGGGTGAGTGTCTTTCCTTGCTTTTTTAAAACTTCTGGTTGTGATTCTCTTCAATGTAGGTCCAGATCAGATTCCTCTCAGGGAAGAATTTGAGCAGATTATGCTGAAAGCTATGCAGGAATTTACTCTGAGAGCGCGCGCCCTGCAGGTGGGCGCCGCCTGCGGCCCCGTGTCCCCGGGGCAGCTCCCCTGGCTTGCCAGATTAATCGCCAGCGTGTCCCAAGACTTGGTCCATGTGATGGTGACCCAGAACTCTCTGGCCGAGGGCATTTCAGAGACTTTGCGGATCCTCAGTGAAATGAGACACTACCAAAGGCTTCCGGATTACGTGGTGGCAATTTGTGCATCCAAAATCCGAGGAAATGAATTTTGTGTGGTGGTACTCGGTGAGTTATTTTTTGCTGTTTATGTAATGTACACAGTCCTCTGTCATTTTAAAAAGCGGTTACTGTTTCAGGCGTCCATGGGATCGACCTCTGGTGAACTGCTCCCGCCTGGGTTCCTCCCCCTAATTTTAACTTTTCCTTCCCTCCTCACATCGGGTGTCGTAGCTCTCCGCTTGGCCAGCACCCCTGTCAGCTGGCGTTGGGAGCACTCTCTCAAAGCTCACCCACGTAACGGATACCCTCGTCCCATGTACTTTCTGTCCTTAAAAGGCCTTGGAAGTGTTACCACGCTAGCATGTGATAGAGCCAGGGCCACGGGCGGCCTGTGCCGGCTGGTCGGACTGCCAGGGCTTGGTGCATGCTTCCCCTCCTCCCTGGAGTCTGTTTCGGAATATCAGCCCCAAAGACCGTGTCCTGAAGGTTGGTCGTTACAGAATGCTCAGGGCTTGTGCCCCATTTGGGGCTGATTTTCTCTGAGGCGCCGCCCTATGTAGCCATCTGAGCTAAAAGTTGCCTCTCCCGGGTCTATACGAAGCGGCGCTCACCTTTCCCACCGAAACGGCCGCACACCCATCCTTCCCAACAACTGGCCCCCCGCCGCTCCATCTGTGCTGTGTGTGTTTGTAGAAAGTGTCACCAGACAGTGTGATACATTAATGTTTTTAAGGTTCATTTGTAGAACAATAGCGAGTTTATATGGAAGACAAAACTTCATAACATACAAAAGCTGTTTTATAGTTGCTCATACTCTTCCCTCGTCTTGAAACACGCGTGTGCACTTTCACAGCTGCAGGCTTCAGCACGTCACTTTCTCCCTCTGTCATCTCACGTCCTGTTATAAACATTTTCTGTCGTTGTCTGTAGTCTGTAAGTTGACAATTCAGATGCCAGCTAATCACTTGTCCGCATCTTTTGAGCCGCTGTGCTTTTCTGAACCAAGTCCCTATCGTTACATCCCTTGGTGGTCTCCACCTGTGGTGACCTTAACTGCCGTCGCGGGCTTGTCGCACTGACGGGTCGTCTCTCTCCTGTTCTGCAGGGCAGTATCAGTCTCGGGCTCTGGCCGAGAGCATGCTCACCACAAGTGAGTTTTTGAAAGAAATAAGTTACGAGCTCATCACAGGAAAGGTCAGTTTCCTGGCCTCACATTTCAAAACCACGTCATTAGGTGAGTGGCCCTAAAACTCGGCGGCACTGCCAGCCTCCAGCTGCGTGACGGTCTGGATTTAAGCCTTAGCCTGTCGAGATGAGTGCGGGCTCAAGCTTGCCAGCTGATCTTTGCTTTGGAATAGTTTATCCCCAGAAGTCTGGGCCTAGTCCCACAGGAAGAGGGCGGGGTCAGAGGAAGGCGCATGGGTACTGGGCTCAGAGACTGGGCTCGGTACCCCTTTGGTGAAGGACTGGGACGAGTCGTTCTCTCTCCCACATCCCAGCGTTCTTATGTGTCTAATCCCATTCTGAATGCTTCGGGTACTGTGGAGGTCCAGGGAGAAGGCTTGTCTGTTGTAAATAGGATGCCAGCAAGGGCGGCTCTTGCTGTAGAGGCTGCTGTAGAGATCACAGGTGTGAACTCTGACGTGCGTTGCTGGCTGCCCCGAAACCCTCAGTGAACACCCAGCCTCCCTGCCCGCCGTGGAGAGCGGTGGGGAGGGCACAGCATTTCACTCTTTGCAAACTTATCACCACTTTATTTTGACACAGGCGATGACCTGGACAGGCTGCTAGAAAAAATGCAACAAAGGAGAGGAGACAGTGTGGTCACCCCTTTCAATGGAGACCTCCATGAGTGTGTGTCGCCGCAGGAGGCTGCTGCTATGGTTCCCACGCAAAGCCTGGGTAATGTCGCCTCCACGGAGATGGGGAGGGCAGTCCTTCGGACAGATATTTTTGAAGCTAAGTCACTCAGGGTTTGGGGGAGTCCTCAAGCCATGGCCCACAACAGGCTTTACTTCATTGTCTATATAACAAATCCGGTTCAAATGAACAATGCCATACCCAAGGGTCTGGATCAAAGGCCTTCTTTTTAGTAAAAGTCTCCTAAAATTAAAACCAAAGTCAAACACTTTATCTTAAATAGTCTCTTTTTCCCTGAAAAGTCCTAGTGGTTTTTTTTACCTTAGGCTCCACGAGCCATGTGCAGAGAGTTACCTGCTTGCTGAGGGACTTAGAATCTTCTCTGACTTGTGAAACCCACATAATCACAGGGAGAGTGAGTTTTTCCTGGCAGACAGAGCAGCTATACCAACCCGTCATCTGCCTGTGACAAGTCAGGGCCCAGCATGGACCGTGAGCCAAGGGGGAGGATTCTGGTCATTAGATTAGGTTCCTTTGGGTTAAATTCCTTCCCTGGTTCACTGATTGACGGGAAAACATAGGCAAGAACAGGAAAAAGAACAGGGGAAGGAACAGATAGGAAACAGACCCACATAAGCTGCTGCTGACAGCCATTTGGCCTGCCTTTGCAGGAACGCAGCATTTACACGTGAGGCTCACCTCCTCGGGCAGTAAAAGTAGTCTGGCTTGGCACTGGCTCAGGCGTTAAGCAAACACAAATACAGGCCATGAAATGTTTTGCCTCGTGGACAGTATTTGGTAGTAAAGTGATCATCTAGATTATCTAAAATGTGTTTTGAATTAACAAATACAGATTTAAATATTCCCTGAGTACTTACAGATCCAGAATGTACAGAAGTACATAGCCTTGTTTTCCTATTCATGAAATGTTGCTTAACGGTACTTTGGTATTAACTCAGACTTCAAAACCTGCCAAGGTAAATCGTACAAACTTATGTGTATGTTTCGTCCTTTCCCATCAAAGCTGTGAAATGAAAGAAATAGCAGCCTAACTGCAGCAGAAGGCGACCTGTTTTGCCTGGTAGTCTTTATAGGCAAAAGCTATTTGGGATGCTTTCGGGGGGCCGTGCTGGGAATCGAACCCAGGGCCTCGTGCCTGCGATGCTACTGTGCTACACGGAGCCCTGCCCCCAGTCTTACTACCAAAGTGTCAGCTCTGGGCTGTGCTAACAGTTCTCTCTGCTGTTGGGAGACGGCCGTACCAGGCTGCTTGCACATAGCATCCACCGTGCGTGGGATGTTGCGACTACTGCCTGCCTCAGCTGCATCGCAGTTTGATTTCAGAAAACATTAATTAGCACAGGTTAATTAGGCCCTGGTGTTTCTTTCCTGATAAAATGCAGCCCTTAAGGCGGCAGTGGCGAGCCTGTGACACAGGTGCTGCAGCGGGCTGCCTGTGATCGTTGAACGCTCTAAAAGGTTTCCCATCACTCTCCTAAGCAATCAGAGGCTGCTGCTCAGACGTTTCCTTATGAAGCCGGTCTCTTTCACGGTGTGTGGACATGCACACAAACATACCGGAGATTGATTGCCTGATTATAGCTTGCCATAAAAAGCTACTGACAGGCCCTGTGTATCTGGACAGTGTTGTGTAATATATCACACACTCAGAGGCCAGCTGCCTGTGTCACGAGTCAGTCTCTTCAGAGAGTCCTGGCCTCGGCGCTGGCGCAGGCCACAGCACACGCCCCTGCTGGGTCACGAGTGCGGGCAAAGTCCAGCTGAGCTGGAAGGAGGGTGCAGGTCGTGTCTCTGTGACCTCCGTCGTCTGCTCCCTGGGAGAGGAATTTCAGACTCTGCTGCAGTTGACTTGCTGCAGGAAGCGCCGACTGCAGTGCCATCCAGAAAAGCGCCCCAGCATTGTCCTGGTCACAGCAGCACCTCCTCCCGGAGCCGGAGCCGGGCTCCCGCGGAAGCCTCTGCCGAGGTTCAAAAACCCTGGCCGCTCCGCCCTGCCTACCGATGAGTCCTGGCTCAACCTCAAACTGCAGTCTGTCTCCGCCTTCGCCCGGCCGGGCTGGGGGTGTTGAATTGGGCATCTGCAGGACGGCCCATTGATTTTAAAATAATACACCTGTGAAAGCACCACATGCAACTCCTGAGCGCTTTTCAGGAGAAGTGGGCAAACCTGTGAACACTCAGTAGCAAGTAAGAGGAGCAAGTGAGAGTGCTCGGCGACAGAGCGTTCACCGCTGCACGTTTGTGTCCCTGTGTGGACTCACAGGGGCCATCCCAGAAATAAATAAACTAATCTTGCACTTGTAACTCTTTTAATTTTAGATTTAGATAATGAAACCTTCCAAATTTACCAACCGCAACTTACGGTGGCCAGAAAGCTCCTCTCCCAGGTGTGTGCCATTGCGGACAGCGGCAGCCGGAGCCTGGACCTCGGCCACTTCAGCAGAGTGGACTTTGTCATCATCGTCCCGAGATCAGAGGTTCTGGTCCAGCAAACTCTGCAGCGGGTGCGACAGTCAGGTAAGAGCAGAGTTTCTAAGAGGACTCCTGCTGGGTCCGGCGTCAGATCCCCTATGCCTCTTTCTTTTGCTTAATCCCAGTACCTAGCAGGCCCTTATAACAGTCTTCAGAAATAAAAATCATGCAAGCACCCTGACTGTTACTTCATACTTATCTGTAAGCTTTCCCCGAGGGTACTGGACCTCTTTCCTCCAAGGTCAAGGGTAAACTCATGCGCATGTTGGCCACATACGGGGAAGTCCATGCTGTGCTGGAGGACTGGAATCTGCCCATTCATTTACAAAGAGGCAGAGGCAGTTCCTCAAGGAAAGCCAGGCCTGGGGGGCGAGGGAGTCTGTCCTGCCCCAGCGCCCTCGGCCAGGACACTCAAGACCCACCGTGGCTTCTTAGCTGATGGGCATGTTGCCGGAGCTTTTCAGCCTAGCAACCAGAACCCCCTCCTCCATGGTAAGAAGGAGCAACCTCAATTTAAAAACACAGTGCAGAGTTAGTCCCAATCACTGCGAGGAAAGAAGTAGGCAGGGAAACATATGTTCCCCCAGAAAACATGAAAAGGTAGAGAACAAAAGTTTTATGAGTCTGTGGTAATATCCCTTATCAAAAATAAAATGTGCTTAGGATCACAAACAGCTCTAATTTAGAAAATGGCCGACCTGAGGAAGGTAGGTTTGAAAGGGAAATCGTAAGCGTCATGTTGCTTCAGATTACCTTAGTTTTAACTAGAGGATGAAGCATTTTTTTGCCAAAGTATTTCAGTTTCAGTGTATTTGAAAATACATAGGAGACTGAAAAATTCAGACCAGCTTAACTTGTGGCATATATGTTCCACACCTATAGTAGAGTATCTCTCAAAGTTTATTGTCATAGAGATCACCAGGGGGTAGTGTTGAAATACAGATTCCCCTCCGCTGGGTCTGGGGCAGGCTCCAGGTTTCGCATTCCCAGGACCAATGTCACTGGTCCGAGGACCACACTTTGAGAAGCACGGCTGTGTAACAAAGCTCCCCTTGTCAGTTACAAGAGCAAAGTGAGCTGACTGCCGGTAGGTTTCCCCGCCTCTCACATGAGCCTCTCTTTGTGGTTGTGAGAGGCACACGGGAAGTCTTGGCCACAGCCAGTGGACACCCAAGTACCATCTCCTTCTGAACCTCTAAATGCCAAGTTATAAAATGACTCTTGGAAATACCGACTGTAAGTGAGAAGGGACAAAAGGACAAGTGCCTCTGTCACAGCTCCCCCAGTGTGAGTGCTGGGCTCTCTCAGCTCCCAGCTATGTCTGAGTTTCTTTCTGCCCCTCCATTGGAAGAAATGCGTGGGTTCCATGCCACCAAGCAGTGACCATACATTCTGTCATCTCGTACATATTTTCTCTTTCCACACATGCCTTCTTTTTTAGGTATTTCACTTGCACTGTATTTAGAAAAAAATTATCCCTCAGCAGTTGGCCTTGGCAGCTGCCTCTGCTGTGATCTGATATCCCAAGTCAAGCAAGCATCATGGCACCTGTTGGGAGTGACAGAACCATCTGCAGAGCCTTTTCCTGAAATAGCCTCTCCATGACCTGCTCTTTGACCTTGTCTAATAAATCCAGGGCTCTCAAGAAAACCTTGCACTTTTGACAAATAGAGAAATTATAGAGACCTCTTTTCCTTTGTCAATACCCTCAGATTGTTCTAAAGCAAGTTTTTTCAAGATTGTCATCCCTCCAAAAAAAAAAAAAAAAAATCCCAGAATGTGACCTGTTACATAAGCATAGAATCTAGGGGGAAAAAAAATCAGTGCCCTGGGCAGATTTGGAAAAGTCAAAGAAAAGCATGTTTTGACAATTATTCCCATGTAGCTTTGGCATCTATACAGAAATTTTTGCTACAAAAATAATCACTTTTGTGTGCTTCAAAGAACTTTCTGGGCTAAGGACATAGCTCAGTGGCAGAGCACTTGCCTAGGAAGGACATGGCCCTGGGTTCAATTCCCAGCACCAAAACAGAAAAAAACCAATAACTATTCATTTTTATTATAGAAAAACATAACTCTGACATCATCTTGAAAAACAAAGCAGGAAAACAAGCATTTGTGGGCTGGGGCGTCGCTCAGTGGTAGTGTGTGCTTTGCATGCGTGAGGCCCTGGGCCTCCAGCATCCCCCAGTTAGACATATGTAGCCCACCACTCAAGAAAACCCCTGGAAAAATACTAACAAATGACTTTTTACCCAGCATGACTCCTCTCTTTGCCTATCATAAGCAGCATATTTTTTCTTTTTCATTTTTTGGTGGTACTGGAGATTGTACCACACACAGCCACATCCTTGCCCCTTTTTTATATTGAGACAAAATCTCACTGAGTTGCTAATTTGCTGAGGCTGGCCTCAGACTGTGGATCCTCTGCCTCAGCCTCCCAGAGTGTGAAAGTTACAGGTGTGCATCACCAGTCCTGGCTGTGAGCAACATTCTTCACGAATATATAGTGTTCCATATCATGGCTATACCCATATTTATTTCCTGATATTTAAATGCCTTAACATACCAGTTGATAGAAAAGAAAAGCCCATACACATGTTAAGGTGTAAAGAGAAACTGTCCAGGGCAGAATAAATAGTTTGCAGGAGATTATTCATTAAAATACCTCCTAAATATCATAGCTATTAAAATGGAAAGAGTTGCCAAGAAATCATCCGGTTGAGTCCCTCCTACTCTTTACTGAGGGGAGCTTGGTTTCTTCGGGGTCGCAGTAGGCAGCACCTTGAAGGCACCGCTTTTCGTCCTTGAATGCCTTGGGGCCTCTCTGCCTCTCTCTGCCTCTCCCCGCGGGCCGGGGTTTGAATGCAGGGCGTCAGGGAGGGAGAGAAGGAATAGGCGAGGAAGAAATCGTGTCTGTGATCTCTGCTTTCTGGTTTATTCGCCTCCTTCCTTAGAGAAAGTGTTTTAGCCGCCGGCAAAGCCCCTGCAGGAGAGGCTGCCAGGACAGAAAGGGCACGTGCTGGGCAGCCCACGCGGGGCTGAGAGTCGAGATGAAAACAGAAACCATAGCGCTGTTGCAGACCCGGCACTAAAGCAAAGCACTTGCTGCTAGGAACACACCCCTAATTATGGAGGAAAAGGAGAAGGGAAGGAGGGGGACAGAGCCAAACAAATATGATGGGAAGGATTTGAAGGTGGAAGGAGGAAAATGGGCTAAACGTGTTCAAGTCTGCCTGAAGTAGACTTGCAGCTGCTGGAGTGATCAGTGGAGAAAAGGAACTTTTTTTTGGAGACAGGGTCTCACTATGCATTGCAGGCTGGCCTCGAACTCACCGATCCTCCCGCCTCAGCCTCCCAAGTGCTGGAATTACAGGCGGGCTCCATGAGCCCAACAAGAACATTTTTATAGTACAGGAGTACTTCTGTGTTGGTGTCATTTTAAAAAATATATGTGAAATCATAGCATAATGTTTCTAATGCAGAGGACCCCATATCTTACTAATTAGAATATTGCTGGGATACTGGAGCTACCAAAATGCCAGCCACCTTCAGTTCAAGGCGGAGCGGATAAACCCAAGAACACAGTGACTATGTGTTTGTTCTAGCTTTCCAGCGGTGTAGGTAGACGTCCCCAGCAAGTGGGACCTGGCCTGCCAGTTGTGGCCAGAAAGTTTTATCCTCCTCGAAAATGAGGCAGCTTGGTGCTGTACCATATACACAGCTCTGCAAGAGCCAGGAAGAGTTAGCCCGCTGACAGGCAGGCAGACTACTGGTCCAAGCAGGCGTCCGTAGGCTTTAAGGAATGGAGGTGAAGAGCAAGGAGAAAACGTTCTGAAACACGCCTCCGTGGTCTCCTCAACCTTCTGCTCCTCAGTGACCACCTGAAATCCATCAGAGGAAAGACAGCGTTTCCTGGGCGGGGACGGAGGCGGCCAGCGGTGCCCCTCTGCACCCCCTGCACACTGGGAGGCTGGGGCAAAAGAGTCAGGAGTTCAAGCCCAGGTTGGGCAATTTAGTGACTTAGCAAGACCCTGTTTCAAAATATAAAATTAAAAACAGGCTGGGGTGGAGCTCAGTGCGAGGGCCCTGGGTTCAATCCCCAGTTGTGCAAAAATAAAAAAAATGGCAGGTAGCAGGTTTGGGGTGGTGGGGGAGAGGCCCAGGAAACCATTCTGTCCCAGGTGGAGGGGATAAACAGATGGCTTCCTGCAAATGCCACTGCATGTGTCCACGCGTATCGCGGGCGATGACCCAGCCAGGGTGCTAGCGCCTTCAGTCCGAACGCCTTCCCCGCTCTGCTGCACTTGCCGGGACCGCGTCCTGGACCCTGCTGCGTCCCAGGGTGGAGCACGCAGGATTCCCAGCGGCAGCCGCAGGCTCCTTCCCTGTGTAGTCACCGCGTTGGACTCTGAGGGGACCGGCCTGTTCCCAGGGACCTGCCGCTGTGGTTCATCTCTTCTGCCGTTGCCCCTTCCCACTGCTTCTGCTCCGGGGCTCCTTGTCAGTCAGAACCCCACCCACTCTAAACACGGAAGAGGCAGCGCGAAGGGGAGGAGGAGGCCGGCCCCGGCCTGTGAGCGAGGGTGTGGCCTGTGCGCTGTGAATAGTGAGCCCCCCTCTCTGCAGAAGGCGCAGAACAAGCTCTGCAGACCCCCAAGCCCCCAGCCTCATCTCACATCGAAGCACCCTGTGCCCGGCCACTGCAGTCCTGCGCCCTCCCCACGCCACCCTGACCTCCTCAGCCTCTGGAGTAGCGGCACTGTCGGCAGCCCTGGTGACCTCGTTAACCTATCTGGTCACGCCTGCTCTCCTCGGCTATCCCGGCTGCTGCTCACGTGTGCCCTGCGGGTCCCCAGCCATGGCACCCCACGCACTGGGCTTGATTTTGTGTTTGTGCATGACCCCCACTCCAGCAGGAAGTGAAACATGCCAGGCCAGGGGCTTGGCACATACTTTATGACTATATGCTGAACTGAATTTTTTCTAACATTTTGAATTAAATGTTAAGTTAAATATATTTTTGAAAGGAAGACATAGAACAGTTAAGATTTGGTAATTCTCTGGCAAAACCAAATTTGGTCCTTTAAAACATCTTCCAAACTGGGCGTGGTGGTGGACACCTGTAATCCCAGCACTTGGGAGGCTGAAGCAGGAGGATCTCTAGAAGTTCTAGGCCAGCCTGGGCTATGTAATGAATTTAAGGCCAGTCTGAACTACTACATGGTGAGACCTTGTCTCAAAAATGTTGCTTTTTTTTTTTTTCTGGAAATCAACTTTGGCCAAGAGTAGAGGCTTTCTGGGGGTAGAAACGGAGGGTGTCTACCGGTCACACAGGAAGCGGAGGGGATCTACCGGCCACACGGGGCTAGAGCTCTGCACAGTGCGTCTGCGCAGAACGCTGTTCTTGTTCGGGTCCAGTGCTGCCTCCCTCGAGACCCAAACGCAGCACGGAGCAGCGTCCACCCGCACGGCCTCCCTGAGCCCAGGCTGTGGCGTTCCCTCTGGGGGAGGACACGGGACACAAGGAGACCGCAAGGTCAGTGGGCTCCGAACGCCATCAGCAGTTTTAGCTGACAGTCCTAGGTCAATTCGCCAGTTATTTATTTACTGAGAAGAGATCACAAGGGTGAAGGAAGGCCTAACGTTAAAGTAATGCCTAAAGACTCGGTGTGTCCTAATGATTTACTATCCCCTGGTGTGTGTGTGTGTGTGCGCGTGTGTGCACGCGTGTGTGTGCGCGCACGTGCATGCCAGAGAGCACACGCAAGTGAATACTGGGCCGCAGAGCTACTTCCCCATGCTGATTTTTATCTTTTTCGATACTAGTTTTAGTTTTTGGTTTTTGGCATACCAAAATTTGGATGAAATCAATTCGATCCACAGAGGTGAACCACTAACATTAAGAGTAGTTTTATTTTTCTTTGGCCCATCTTCTTGAAGGGAAGAGCAAGAAATAAAAATTAGGAATCAAAACACCAAAATTCTTGGTTAAAAAAAAAAACAAACATAAGGGATGGGAATGTAGAAGTCAGAACACATCGTCCCCTCCAAAGCCAGCCGCTAACGAGGCGTCGTGGTGAGACCGGATCATCTTTAACGAGCCTTGGAGGCCTCAGGGTCTCCGGGTCACTCGGCCTGTTTGGTGCTCGGACAGACTACGCATGGATTCTGACCATTTGTTCTGATTCCTAATTTTGTGGCCTTTCACACTCGGGGTATCGTAAACGTAGGGCTCTGTTCTTGGTCAGACTCCCCTTTGAGACCTCGAGATTGTAGAAAAGTCGCTGCTTCCTCTTTAACATTTTTAGGGAATGGCTGAGAGGATTTTTTTACCCCTAATCCCATAAAGAGAAATACTGTACAGGCTCATGCTCAAGTTTCCCTTCACACATCTGGGTTTTATAACCTTCAGTAAAGAAAAAGACAGCTCTGGTCCAGCTGCTTGGAGTCCTTGGCCCTCTGAGAAGCTTCTTAGCCAGGGTCCAGCAGAGCTGGCCACTTCTGCAGGGTGCCTGTGACTGGGGCGCTACCCTGCACAGCTTCCCAAGGGGCACAGTGATAAACTTGGGGTGCAAGGTGGCTCCTAAACCCTGCCTTCCAAACTCAGGGGTTGCAAGTTGCTGTAAAAGAAGAACCACTGATAGTTCATGTGTTTGTTCAGACGCCTTTACAAACAGCGCTGTGTTGGTTGCAGGGAGCACGCTTAGGGTCCGGATCACCTTATAAATGCCTTTCCCCACCGTCCAAGCTCTGAGCGGGGAACGCCTGGAATATTTCCTTGTACCAGAAAGTACGAACATTCTCAAAGATTAATGGGACGTGTGTAAGGACATAGAGAGGCCTGCTTGGAGGCGATTTGACTGTCCAAATTTGGAAATTTTGAGCATCCCAAGGAATGTTGGCAATAGGCTGTAATCTACTGAAATTTTAGAGTCTAGAGCAGTGCTAGCAAACCTACGACACTGTGTTGTTTTTCTTTTAAGACACAAGACATTGATGTAGAGGGTTTTTTCCTAAACTAATACCTCAGTATCCCGGCTTACCTGCAGTGTTGGCACTCATGATAAACAAGTGGGTTTGGGGCTGCAGTTTGGGTACTTGCCTCTAAAAGGCTCGCCGTCACTGGTCTAGAGTAATGCTAAGAAACTAAGGGGGATGGAGAAGTGAGAAACAGAAAACCCCGCCTTTACAGACGAGTACCCCCAGTATTGACCAGGTTACAGAGTCCCTGTGGGAATTAGTACTCAAGCAAGCACTGATTCCTGCATCGTCAGCAGATATTAAAGTCACTGGATAAAAAATGTCATTGGAGAACAAACATTCACATGGTCTCCAAGTATTCCATGGTTTAAACACTGCAGAGAGGCTGGCGTGCTCAGCGGTAGTGTGCCGCATGCGTGAGGTCCTGGGTTCCATCCCCAGCGCTGGGAAGAAAACTACAAAGAGAAAAAGGTATCTCTGCAGTGGAGCAATTTCATGTTTAAAAAAGAAAGAATTCGTATTGGCTCTACCTTGAGTTTCTGGATAAGTCTGAGCAAAGTTGAAATGTTAGCTGTATTTGATGATGTAGTTTTATTTGGATCTTCTTTAGTATTATGAATAGTTCCATCATTTTCTCCACAAAGGTCTTATATAGCTTTTGTAAGATTTGCTCCCAAATATTTAATTTGGTTTTAGGTTCTTCGTTTTGTTCTTGCTGGGATTGAACCCGTTAGCTGCTTGCACGCGCTAGGCAAGCACAATACCACTGAGCTACATCCCCAGCTGTTCGAAAGACATTTCCTGTTCACTATTATATATAGAAGTGCAAGTAATTTTCGTAAACTGTCTGTGGGCGGAGGGGGTTAAACCCAGGACCTCACTGCTAAGTACACGTCTACCTCTGTTCTGTACCCCAGCCCCTTGGAAATTGAAATCTGTCAGCCTCACTAAATTCTTACTAATTTAATTAACTTGTCCGTGGATTATTTTGGTCTTTCTATACAATTATTAGTAAGCGGAATCAAAACACCAAAATTCTTTCTATACAATTATTAGTTCTTCTGGTTACCTTACAGCTCTGAGTGAGAAACTTCAAGACATTCTGTTCTAAAATATGAGCCAGGGAACACAGTCTTCACAGACAACACCCAGGAGGGACAGAACAGAAAAGTAAGGCAGTGGCTTATTTTGGGTTAAAGATTTATGGATACATTTTTCTTTTTTTTCCAACATGAGTATCTATCACTTCCATAACCAGGAAAGAAACAAAATTTAAAAGTAAAAGCGAGTCTAAAACAAAATTTAAAGGTAAGAATAATCTACTAAAAACACGCAGAAATAAAGCAAACACCCTTCATAAGCCTGCTCTCCAGCCAGCTGGCTGAGTAGTTATGGACAATAGCCTGTGTTATGCCCAAGAAAACCTGTCTTTTATCCCCAGAGTTTGCCCTTTGAGGACGCGTATGGAGTTGAACCGTCAGAATCATACGTCATTCTTTAATTCACTTCTTCTGAAATGCAGTCAACTTTTAATTATCCCCAAAGTATGTTTTCCTACCTGGTTACTTACGACCCCTTCATATCAGAGTGCCGTAGCTCACACTGATTGTTTCCTGAGGTCTGAGTCCCAACCAGTACCCCTCTGCTGTCTTACAAACAGGGAGACTGAAAAGAAGCTCTAAGTACAGAACGCTTAATCTCTAAATAAAAGATGCTTAGCCGGGTGTGGTGGCGCACGCCTGTAATCCCAGCACTGGGAGGCTGAGGCAGGAGGATCGTTGCGAGTTCGAGACCAGCCTGGGCTACAAAGTGAGCTCAAGGCCAGCCTGAACTGCATAGAGAGACCCTGTCTCAATCAATCAATCAATCAATCAATCAATCAATAAGTAGAAGATGCTTAAAAGCAAAATTACCTTTCTGTCCACCTTTTCTGGTATAATGAATTTTTCACATGGCAAAACATTTGTCTTATTTTCTTTTATGCCACTTAGGGCTGTTAGTATCACAGCTTCTAGATGCTAACTGCACGTAGTTATTAACTGAGCTGGTGTTATTTTAAAATAAAAGTGAAACAATGAAATCATAACTCATAAAGTCTCTTCATTTTATTTTTATTTGTTTGTTTATTTACTTTTGTGCTACTGGGAATCGAACTCAGGACCTTGCTCTTGCCAGGCAGGCACTGTGCAGCTGAGCTATATCCCTGACCCACTGTCTCTTTATTTTAAAGAAGAATTTGGTGCTTTAATTATACCCCACCACCAACAGCTTCGTGTACCTACAGCTATTGTAGATGTCTTGGTAATTAGTAATTTTGTCATAGAAATGATGACATCATCCCACAGTTTCACCAGCTTCTGATACTTTGGGAGTACTGTAGTTTCGTAGTACTGTAGGTAATTCTCACCTTAGTAACCTGGTACATAAACCTCACGTCGGTGGAGGCCTCCCGTGCTCTGCTGTGTGAAAACAGCGGCAGGGGCCGGCCGGGCTCAGCGGGAGGGCGCTTTCCCAGCGTGTGCAAGGCCTTCCTTCGGGCCCCAGCACCACGGCAAAAGCCCCACCACTTTTAAAGAAAAAGACCCCCAACCTGGTGAGTCTTTGGAGACCTCAGATTGTGTTTTCCTCCCATGCATTGTTGGTAGTTTGGGGAAGGAAGACTTGCGCACTTGTATTCGTCCGGCTGCGGTTTTCCCGCGTGGCTGCGTGGTCCAGCACTATAGGTGTAGAGAGAATTTCCTTAAAGAGCGACCTGCCCTCCCAGTGCTCCCTGGGGTCCCGGTTGTGTGTCGGGGCGGGCCGGTGTAACTAGAAGGAAATCTGGGCTTTCGCTCTCAGAAGAGCGCACGACGTCTGAGAAGGCAAGGCCGGCGCTATGGCCCCGGGCCCATCTAGTGCCAGTGTCCGTGGGCCCCGCAGTGACTCGCGCGGGTGCGTGTGCGTCGCGTGTGTAAGAAGATCCGCGCCTTTTGCTCCGGCAGGTGTCCTGGTGGACTTGGGCCTGGAGGACACGGCGACGGCGCACCAGAGGGCGGAGAAGTACGTGGTCCGTCTGGACAGCGAGCTCCAGGGCAAGCTGGAGGCGTTCCTGCGGAGGGTGAAGCAGAACCCGTACACGCTCTTCGTGCTCGTCCACGACCACGCGCACGTGGAGCTCACCAGGTGACCGCCCCGCGCGGGAGGAAGCCCAAAGGCAGCCATGCCCGGCGAGGGTCCCCACACGGGGCGTTTTCCTCCCAGGGGCCGAGTCCTCATCTTTCCTTGCTGCCACAACAGATGTAACGTTAGTTTTATTTTAAATGTACCGTAGAGGAATTTAGAAATTCTTGCTTGGAAGCCAGTCTGAAGAACACTGTGGGAGCCGGGTGTAGTGGCACACACCTGTAGTCCCAGCACATGGAGGCTGAGGCAGGAGGATCTCAGGGAATTCAAGGCCAGCCTGGGCAACAGAATAAGACCCCGTCTCAAAAAAACAAAAACAAAAGAGCATCATGGGGGTGCTTCAGAGAGAGGGTGGCAGGAAGCGGTGGGGCGCAAACACCCCCAGAGGGAGGAGGCCCCCTCAGCACCCCTGCCTTCTCCCCGCTCTCCTCCCACGACTGCACCTCCCGTTTGCCTCTCTCCTGCCCGGCAAGGGAACATCTGAGAGCGGGGACCCTTCCCGCCTTCCAGGTCAAGCGGCGCTGGCGCTGTCACGGTGGACTCGTGCGCGAAGCTGCGTGTGGGGCGGAGCCAGCGCTGCACCCCCTCAAACTGTCCCTGTGTGGCGGGGCGGATCTTCGCTCCTGGGGGCTCACAGGGCCCTTCCTGCCCTCGTCAGCTGGGGGAGGGAAGTCTGGGGCCGCACTGAGCCTTCGCAGGTTTGCTTTTCTCCGACGCAGAGATTAACAATCTGCAAGTTTTCGGTCTGTGGTAGAAAAGTCAGAATTACGAAATCACTTGTTTTTTGAAAGTTCAGGTGCCAGAACGTGTTGGAAACTCTACGATTTCAAACCTAGAGCCACGCGTAGGTATAAACAGGATCTTGTCACTTGTCAGATTTAGAAGAAAGGAGAGGAGGAAGAGGAGGAAGAGGGAAACGACCTTTCACACGTCTACCCAGTTGCTGCTGTGTCCTCCGAGCAGGAGTAACCCGCCGGCCTGATAGCTGTCTCTGAAAGCCGGGCTGTTTCTTGGCTGTGCACTGGGTCTCTGACTACCTCCCGAGAGCATCATGGTTTTGATTTTGTTCTTGGTTTGTTTGCTGGGGTTTTTGTTTTT